GGCCCCGCCGCGCCGTCACGGCGCCCCCGCGGCCCCCTCGCCGCCGCCCCGGGGCTCCCGGGCCGGGCCCGTCGTAGTGGTGGCTCCTGGTCCTCCAGTGACCACAGCCACCTCGGCCCCCGTCACCCTGGTGGCCCCCGGGGAGGCGCGGCCCGCTTGGGTTCCGGGGCCGGCTCCGACTTTGGCCACGGCGGCCGCAGGCAGCACAGTGGTGGTACTGACCCTGGAGGCCTCACCCGAAACCCCGAAGGCGCAGGAGTCCCCGGTCCCGGCGGCCGGGGCAGGACCCGAGACGGCGGTGGCTTCGGCTTCAGGGGCAGATTCCCCGAAGACGGAAGAGGCTCGAGCCTCACCTGTCCTAGGACCAGGGACCCCCACCAGGATCCCTTCCAGAACGGCGCCTGGAGCCCTGACTGCCAAACCCCCACTTGCACCCAAGCCGGGAACCACAGCGGTTTCAGGAGTGACTGCACGGGGTGCAGCAGGACAGGTGACCAGTGGACATGGAGCGGCAACATCAGCATCAGCGGGGCAGGCTCCTGAGGACCCCTCGGGGCCTGTTACAGTCCCTCCAGGGACGTGTGAGGCTCCGGTAGCAGTGGTGACGGTGACCCCAGCTCCGGAGCCTGCTGAGAACTTTCAAGACCTGGGCTCCACGTCCAGCCTAGGACCTGGCATCTCTGGGCCTCGAGGGCAGGCCCCGGATACTCTGAGCTACTTGGACTCCGTGAGCCTCATGTCTGGGACCTTGGAGTCCTTGGCGGATGATGTGAGCTCCATGGGTTCGGACTCGGAGATAAACGGGCTGGTCCTGCGCAAGACGGACAAGTATGGTTTCCTTGGGGGCAGCCAGTACTCAGGCAGCCTGTGAGTAGCCAGTGGAGACTAACTGGGGAAGCGGGAGAGGGAGGAAGGGGAAATGATACACCTGGGCCAGCCTCGGACCCAGGGGGTCATTGTCAGGAGCTTTGGTACCCAGAGCATCCTGAGGGTTCTGTGGCTTTAGCGTTTGAGACCAGGGATCAAGGCATCTGGGTTTAAAGCTAGACCTTGCCTGTGTCCTTGAACTAGTGGTGTCACCATTTCTGTGCCTCAATTTCCTCTCTCTGAAGGGTTGAAAATGAAGCAATACCTGCTAAGGTTATGCTAGCTGCTTGCTATGAAACTCTTAACTATAGGCCAAATATTCTGGAAGGTTGTTTGGACCAGGGTTCTGGTAGCGATCTTTGGCCCCTGAGGGAGAGTCTGGAAAGGATGCCACCACTTCAAAGGAGGAGTGGGTCTGATAGGATGGTGCGTCGGGGATCTCTGGTTGACTGAGGGGAGACCCTGGAGACAGGGCTTCTCTGTGAATGAGGGTAGTCTTGTATTTTCACTGGAGGAAAGGGGGTGGGGGAGGCCTCTTCCCCATTTCCTCATCTCCCCAGCCCAGTACTCTTTCCGAGTTCCTTCCAGGGCCTGAGTCACTCCTAGGTGGGGGTGTGATTGCCCTGACTTCTTCCTTCCCTCTTTCTGGATCCTGACCATTGTTCCCATGCTCCCTTAACCTGAAGGTGAGTTCAGCCTGCAGCATAGCCTGAGGACACTGCTGCCAGGCCCTGTGCTGTACCAAAGCCAAAGTAATACTTTCAAGGGGCGCATCTGCAGGGAACGGTGACTACTCAAACATCTGGTTTCAATATAGAAGGGCAGGCTTGGCCTGGATATCACCACAGGGTTTTGTGAGTACCCAGGGGTTTTGTGAGCACCCAGGGAAGGGATCTTTGCCTAGTTCGAGAGTTCAGCTGAAGACAATCTAGGGTGAGTGGGATTTAGTCTTGGCTATGTGTAGGATGGGAGGGTATTACAGGCAGGGTTTATAAACAGAAAATCAGAAAACTTGATTGGTCAGCTAGAGTTTGACGCTGGTGCTTTCTCATGCATCAGTTTACAGATTAAGAAACAAAATTAGAGCAGTCGAGTGAATTGCCTCTGTCAAGTAACTTGGATCTGTGTAACTAGTGGTCCTTTCTTCAGTACCAGGCTGTCCTGAGGAACTTGGGTTCTATTCAGTTTTAGAATTCTCTTGTGTGTCAGGCACTGTGCTGGGTACTATTTCTTTGCTTTGTAATTTTTCCCCTTTAAAATCTGTCTTCCATGCCAGAGAAATCCACCCCTGAGGCCGGCCTGATGTGGCATGTTACCTTGAAAACTTTTTTGTCTACAGAGTAAAGTCCAAGCTCTTTAACTTCCTTGCTGTCCAGCCATGCCTGCCTCTTTGGTCTGATTTCCCTCCATTTGTCTGTCAGGCCCTCTACATTGTGGCCCTGCTGAACTGATTGTAGTTTATTCAGCCTGTCCCACCTGTCAGCAGTGTGCTTCTTTCCCTTTGCCTGCTAATTTCTCCTCCTTTCCCCCAGGAAGCCTTCCCTGACATCCACTCTCCTCACTCTTAAGTAATGCCTCTTGTGTCAGTCTTTGGCATTGCACTCCCCTGTACAGTAGTGGATTTATCTCCATCCTTAAGATGTAATGGTCTTGCCTGAAAGTGTGGAACTGACTTATGATAGAGGTTTATTTTTCTTTTTCAAACAGGGTCTCACTATATAGCTCTGGCTGGCCTGGTCTACATTTCGAGTTCCAGGCCAGCTTCAAGCTCACAGAGATCCACCTGCCTCTGCCTCCCGAGTGTTGGGATTAAAGGCATGTACCACATCTGGCATATGACAGAATTTTTTTGATTTACTACTTTTTAAAATTTTTTATGTGTATGAGTGTATTGCCTGTGTGTAAGTGCACCCATGTCATGCAATGCCTACAGAGGCCAGAAGAGGGCATCGGATCCCATGGAACTGGTGTTACAGATGGTTGTTAGCTGCCATGTGGGTACTGGGAATCGAACCTGAGTCTTCTGCAAGAGCAGTCAGTGCTCTTAACTACAGAACCATCTCTCTAGCCCCTGATTTACTATTTTTAAAATTTACTTTTAAATTTATGTATATGGATGTTTTCAGTGCATGCAAGTGTATCATGTGTGCAGTGCCCTTGGAGGCCAGAAGAGGGTGTCAGATTGGAATTGGAGTTATGGACAGTTGTTAGCTGCCATGTGGGTGCTGGAAACCAAACCTGGGTCCTCTGCAAGAGCAGCCAGTGCTCTTAGCTGCTGAGCCATCTCTCTAGTCTCTATGATAGAAATTTAGTGAGATGGTGTTGTTAAGGAGCTTTTAGGATAAACAAACACATAAAGAGTTCCTATTTAACAGTCTTTTTTTTTTTTTTTTTTTTTTTTTTTCTGGGTTTTTTGAGAAAGGGTCTCCCTGTAGCCCCAGCTGTCCCGGAACTCACTATGTAGACCAGGCTGGCCTTGAACTCACAGAGATCCACCTGCCTCTGCCTCCTGAGTGATGGGATTAAAGGCATGCACCACCATGCCCAGCTTAACAGTCTTTTATATGCATTTTTCTCAATAGTTCTCTTAACTGTAGGTGGTCTCATCCCCGTTTATAACTGAGAAAGAGACTTGGGTTAATCACTTGTTAAAACTCCCTAGCTTCTAAGGGATAGAATTGGGCTTTTTAGATCTGTTGGATTTCTAAACCCAGGTCCTTCTACTTTGTTCCACAGGTAGAGTCTTGTAAGTAACTTTCTATACAGAAACACCTTGAACATAAAGCTCTGACAGAACAGTGAGCAACAGGGCAGGCAGGAGAACTTTATTTGTCTGGGAATCTGAGGAGATTTCAGGAAAGAGGAAGTAGAGGAAATCATAGATGGTACAATGAATCTCAAGGGTCTGACAGGATGTTAACTCAAGTTGCTTCTAAAGAGAGAAGTAAATAGTAAATAGAAGTAAATTGCTATTGCATACTGAGCCCCCTGCTACAGGTTATTTATAAACCCTTTAAGGTATATAGTGTTATTCTTTCCTATAAATGAGGAAACTGAGGCTTAGAAAAATTAAGTGACTTGCTCAAAGTCACACAATAAAGTGGTAAAAGTAGGTCTAATAAAAAAATGTAGCTTTTAGCTGGGCGTGGTGGTGCACGTCTTTAATCCCAGCACTCGGGAGGCAGAGGCAGGCGGATTTCTGTGAGTTCAAGGCTAGCTTGGCCTACAAAGTGAGTTTCAGAACAGCTGGGGCTACAGGGAGACCCTGTCTCAAAAGGACCAAAAAAAAAAAAAGTAGCTTTTATGTTATTTGTTATTTTTTGCAGTGGTGGGGACTGAATCCAGGGCCTTGCATATGCAAGACAAGCACAGTACCACTAAAGCTACATCCCTAGTCAAAATGGGTCTTTTAAATATTCTGAACTTCACAAATTTGGATGTGCCAGAAGTGGGATTTGAACACCATCTCTGTATAGAGATCCAGTAGGGAAGGAAGCCTTTAGAGTGTGGTGAATAGGGCCTTGGATGGTGAAGTATTCAGACATTTTGATTTTTAGTACCTGACAAAATTTTTAGTTTCTTATTTGAGCCTGGGGGAGCTGGCTGGCTCTGTTCCCCCAGTAGCCCATGCTTGTTACTACTGCTACTGACCCTTCCGTACTGACCGGATTCTGCAGAGAGAGCTCTATTCCTGTGGATGTGGCTCGGCAGCGGGAGCTCAAATGGCTGGAGATGTTCAGTAACTGGGATAAGTGGCTGTCACGGCGTTTCCAGAAGGTTTGAGGGTTGTGTGGTGGGCTGGCAGTGCACTAGGGTGGGGGAGGAGCATCCCTTTGGGGAAGCCTAGGAAACTGCTAAGATCTGCCCTCATAACACACTGAGGACCGGTGGTACTTGGGCCCTGGTCCAGTGGAGTCACAGCTGGTATGTGGGAGGAATGTTTCAGAGAGCCTGAGGACTGCTGGGGAAAGCTTGGAGGATGTTCTAGCCCTGAAGCTGTCACCCTAGATGATACTCTGCCTTAGGTAAAGCTGCGCTGCCGAAAGGGGATCCCCTCCTCCCTCAGAGCCAAGGCCTGGCAGTACCTGTCTAATAGCAAGGAACTCTTGGAGCAGAATCCGGGCAAGTTTGAGGTTTGTGCAACTCCAGGGTGTGGGGACTTGTGGCCATGTCTCTGCAAGGGAAATTAGTTCTCTTAGATCCAATGGTAATCCCTACTATCTCACTGCAGGAGCTGGAACGGGCCCCTGGGGACCCCAAGTGGCTGGATGTGATTGAGAAGGACCTGCACCGCCAGTTCCCTTTCCATGAGATGTTTGCTGCTCGAGGGGGGCATGGGTAAGATGGCCTGACTATGATGGTTGACTGGCAAACATTTGTTGAAATTTCCAGGTGCTTAAAAGGCTAGGTTGAAAAGTTCTTGCTCTCTAGGACTTTTAGAAGAGTGGTTGTTAATCAATTGTCAGGTAGTGTTAAAGGACGTGTCTTGCAAGGGAGGCTTCAATCAGGTGTTTGTGGTCACATCAACGACTCATTGAGGCTGCATTTAGGTTTTGAAAGATGATTGGGAGCTAGGATAGGTCAGGGTTTTCCTTCCTGGGAGGCTGTATAAGCAGTGTCTGGACAGTGGATGTATGGAGAGCTGAATCTAGAAAAGAAATTTGGGCAAGATCACTGAGAGCCAAGGTACTTGGAATTTTGTTCTAAAGATTAAGCTTCTTTAGAATGAAATGCATATACCATTCTCCAGAAGTATGTAAGGTGATCTTAGGTAGTGTTATGGACTTTTTGTATCTGGTGTTGGAGCACACCCTAGGGCCTTGCAACATGCTAAAGCACTCTACCATTGAGCTGCATTCTCAGCCCTAGATGGACTTTTTTTTTTTTTTTAAACCGTGTTTTGCTGTGTAACCAAGGGTAGCCCAGACTCACTCTCTTCTTACCAGTTGCTAGGATCATAGATGTGTACCACCATTTCTGACTTAAATAAACATCTTTTAAACATCAGTATGTTCATCTTTGAACAAATAATTATTGAGTACCTGCTATCTGTCAGGCACTATTCTAATCATAGAAGACAACAGTGAACCAAAAACTAAAAACAGTTTGCCTATCTGTACATGATAAAAAAGGAAAGTACATCATATGTGGAATAGCATTAAAGAGGAGTTTAAAGCACGAAAGAATAGTGAATGTGTGTCAGGATGGGATTATACGGAAAACAAGAGAGCAACAACTTGCTGATAGAGATTGAAGAATTGGGGGAAAGGTGCTATGTCAGGAGTTTTGGAATGTTGCATTTAAAGCGTTTTAGACTGGGGCATGATAGCTCATGTCTGTGATCCCTAGTAGTATGTAAGGCGATCTCAGGTAGTTAGGTTGGTTTCTGTGTATGTGGTTCAGGGGATCAAGCTAGCACTTTAGAGGCTGAGGCAGGAGAAGGAGGATTGTCATGAGTTTGAGACCAGCTTGAGGTACTTAGAAAATTTTAGGACAGACTGAGCTACAGAGTAAGAACCCTGTCTCAAACCAGGAGAGATTGGATATCCGAATATAGCAGGTTAGATTATATAATATATATTTAAGTCTGGATTTCAGGGAAGACGTTTAAACTGGACATAAATTGGATATTGAAAGTTTTAGCTTATAGAGGGATTAACTTACCCATGGGACTAGATGAGGTCACAAAGTAGCAAGTAGAGATACAAAGGGAAGATGTATAAGGCTGCCCAGAAGCACCAACGTTTTGGGAATGGGAAAATGAAGAAAGAAAGAGAAAAAAAAAAAAAAAAAACTGCAGAGGACACTAGGACTTTAAGCTAGAGAGGCAGGAAGAGAACCAGGAAGGAGGGCTTCAAGATCAGTTTGAGAAATGCTGCTGAGAGATTAGTAAATCAAGTTTGAGAATTGGCCTTGGGACTTAACACTGCAAACTCTTTGGTGACTGTTGTTTTTTTAAAATATTTTAAATTTTTATTTATTTGGGTCTTTCTGAGACAGGGTCTTTCTGTAGTCTTAGCTGTCCTGGAACTCACAACGTAGATCAGGCTGGCTTTTAACTCATCTGCCTGCCTCCTGAGTGCTGGGATTAAAGGCGTGTGCTATCACAACCAGCCTATTACTTTTATTTTTATGTGTATGAGTGTATTGCCTGGATGAATGTAAGTGCACCTGTGTCTGACCTTGGAGGTCAGAAGGTCTCAGATCCCCTGGAACTGGAGTTATAAACAGTTGTTATGCTGGGAATTGAATCTGGGCTCTCTGCAAGAACAGCCAATGCTCTTAACCACTGAGCCATCTCTCCAGCCCCTGGTCATTTTGAGACAGTCTTGCTGTGTAGCCTAGCCAAAAATCTTGCTTCAGCCTCTTCAGTGCTGTGGTTAAAGGTGTAAGCCACTGCACCTGGATTTTTAGTGACTTGATGAAAAGTTTTGTATGGAGCTGAAAACAAGTTTTGTGTGGAGCAGTAGGTAAAGGCCTGGATAGGATCAGAGAAAGAAGGGGGAAGGCAGTGAGTGTCAATTCTAGAGCAGTTTTGCTGACCAGGTACAGAAAGAAACTGTTGTTTGAAAGAGAGTGGAATTAAGGGACTTTTTAAAAAAATGATTTTATTTACTTTGGGGTTTTTGAAACAGGGTCTCACTATGTAGCCCTCTAAAAAGAGTGGAGTGGAGAGTGGAGTTGACTTTTTTTTTTTAATGATTTTATTTAGTTTTGGTTTTTTTAAACAGGGTCTCACTATGTAGCCCTGTCTGGCCTTGAACTCACAGAGATCTGTCTGCTTCTGCTGGAATTAAAGGCTTGTACCACCACACCAAGCTCAAGATTTTATTTAAAAATTAAAAAAAAAAATTTTATGTGTATGAATGTTTTGCCTGCATGTGTGTAAGACACCACATGTGTATAATGCTCATGGAGGCCAGATCCCCTGGAACTGGAGTTACAGATGGTTGTTAGTTGCCATGTGGGTGCTGGGAACCAAACCCAGGTCCTCTGGAAAAGCAGCCAGTGCTCTTAACCCCTGAGCTAGCTCTCTGGCCTCCAAGGAACATTCTTTAACAAGGAGTAGGGTCAGTCAGATGCCTCAGGTAAAGGCACTTGCTTTGCAAGCCTGACAACCAAAGTAAGGAAAAAAAAAAAGAAATAGCATATCTGAAAACAAAGCTCAGTGGTAGAGTACTTGTCTAGCAGGAATCCTAGGCCCAGTGCAAAATAAATAAAATTTAAAAATCAGATAATTGGTGTGCTGATGGGAATGATTTAGTAGAGAAAAACTGATGAAGCAGGAGAGATGGCAAGTTTCTGGATTGCTTGTGTGGGCAAGTGGGGAATAGGATCCAGAAAAGCTATGTGAGACCGGGCTCACAGACAGTTCACTTGGCAAAAGAGAAAGCTGGGATCCAGTTGTGGGCAGAAGGATGGATAGAGTGGAAGTCATGTGTGTTTTTAAAGATTTATGTGTTTATTTTTATTTGTGTGCCTGCATAAGTTTCTGTGAACCACTTGCATGCAGGTGCCCAAGGAGGCCAGAGGGTATCTGATTTTCTGGAACTGGAGTTACAGGTGGTTATGAGCCACCTGATGTGGGTGTTGGGACCCAAACCTGGGTCCTCTCCAATGGTAGTAAGCACTTTTAACCACTGAGCCTTCTCTCTAGCCCCCTGTATTTTGGTTTTGTTGTCTGTGAGGGTTGGATTTGTTTTATTATTAGGTAAAATAAACAGGTAAAACAAACAGATACAAAGTAAAGAGCAAAAGAAGTAGGGGTGGGGATGCAGCTCAGTTGGTAGAGTACTTGCCTAGAGTACATGAAGCTCTGGGTCCGGGCCACAGCACCACATAAAACCAGTTTATGGTGGCTCATGCCTGTACTCCTGGCACTAGAGGCAGGAGAATCAGAAGTTCAAGGTCATTTTTTAATACACAGAGAGTTGGAAGCTAGCTTGGGTTACCTGAAACCCTATCTTGAAAGTTTTTGAAATAACAGTGGTGTAGTTGCAGTTAAGAAATGATCACATCTGAATGACTAGACTTGGCAAAGCTACTATAAGCGGTGTTAGCAGTGTGTAACTGAAGGCAGGGAGAAGATCTGTGAGGTCAATATGTATTTGGGGCAAGAGATAGAGGTCAGAATTGGAAGTAACTGGAAGGAGAGAGAAGAGGCATGAATGGAGCTCAGGATGTAGTTTTGCTTGGACTTGGTGATTAGCCAGAGAATGAGAAAGGCTGTTTTCTTTTGATGGAGAGTTGAGTATATAGAAATAGCAGATGTGATGGAGTTCTGGCAAGGAAAAGGAGAAAATTTAAAAGGCAGAGAGTTTGAGATGCAGAGATAAGAGACAGATGTGAGGTACAGCTGACTTCCAGGCCTTCACCAAGAGCCAGGACTCACTGGACATGCTGAGAGACCTGATGAAATCCAGTGAGCCAAATAAAGCAGGCCCTACCCTGAGAGTGTCTGCTCTGGGGTGGTAAAAACACCCCGACAGTGGTAAAGGAGAGAGGGCTGATGCTGTGGCTGTTGAAAACTTCCCAGCGAAAATGACCTTGAATGTTTCTGGGGTGGTGGCAGATGAAGAAAGGAGAGAGAGCAGTCTGTACTGGGGAATGGGAAGAGAGCATATGGGATATGTAGCCAAGAAGGAAAGGTGGGGGCCTGGAATGCTTTGAATGTTGAACTTCATATAGGCAGGATTTGGAAGGTGGATGTGTAAGTGGTAGGAAAACTCTGAGATTAATCTGAAACTTAATGTTCTGGGCCAGAGTTAGGTTTGGTGACTGCCATCTTCTGCATTCCCGTAGACAACAGGACCTGTATCGAATCCTGAAGGCCTATACCATCTACAGGCCTGATGAGGGCTATTGTCAGGCCCAGGCTCCAGTGGCTGCAGTGCTGCTCATGCACATGCCTGCTGAGGTCAGCATCCGTGGACCTTGTTGGGGTGGGGGTGGGAAGATCTAGGCATACAATGGTGATGGGTGAGCTGCCTACTCCCTGCTTCTCAGGCCCCATCCCTCCTTGTTCTTGCCCTTAGCAAGCCTTTTGGTGCCTGGTTCAGATCTGCGACAAGTACCTCCCAGGTTACTACAGTGCAGGGCTGGTGAGTGTTTGGAAGCTGAGTGCACTTGGGGCTGTCATTTCTCCAAGGCCGAAAGGGGTCCTTGCTCTACCTCACTCTCCTATTCTATCCCTCTCTCCAGAGGTTTTGTATCCTGAGGGGGCCATAGCAAGCCAGACCCACTTCTCATGCTCTTCCCACCTCTAGGAAGCCATTCAGCTGGATGGAGAAATCTTTTTCGCGCTCTTGCGCCGGGCCTCCCCACTGGCATATCGGCACCTGCGGCGGCAGCGTATTGACCCAGTGCTCTACATGACAGAATGGTTCATGTGCATCTTTGCCCGCACCCTGCCCTGGGCTTCAGTGCTGCGTGTCTGGGACATGTTTTTCTGTGAAGGTATTTCAGTCACCACCTAAGCTGTGAAGGGGCTGGGCTTTCCATGGTGGCTGCCAGAGGGTCCCATCACTTTTCTGGTGGCCCAAGGACAAAGGTACTTGTTTGGTCTAGGCTTCACAATAAGCGGCTGTAGACTGGAAAAGCAGGACTGGTCTTGGTTCAGCCACCAACCTAGAGTCTGGTTGTCCTCCAAGGAACCTGTAACCCATAGTGACTCATTCTCTTCCTGGTGCCTTAGTTTCTTCACCTGTAAGGTTGTCAGTAAATGGGGACAGGGGCTGAGTCTTCCCTAAATGAGATAGGCTAATATTCTGGGCCTGATCTCCTTATGCAGTTCTTCTCTCTGACCCTGTAGGCGTTAAGATCATCTTCCGAGTGGCCCTGGTCTTGCTGCGACACACATTGGGCTCTGTGGAAAAGCTACGCTCCTGTCAAGGCATGTATGAAACCATGGAGCAGCTGCGCAACCTGCCCCAGCACTGTATGCAGGAGGACTTCCTGGTGCATGAGGTAGGCCTTGAGCCTGAGCATACTGCAACCACTTAGCCCATTTCCACACTCATCTTTATTCTGGCTACCATGTCCTCTGTTAGGTAACCAACCTCCCTGTGACGGAAGCACTAATTGAGAGGGAGAATGCAGCCCAGCTCAAGAAGTGGCGGGAAACCCGGGGAGAGCTGCAGTACCGGCCCTCACGGCGACTGCATGGCTCGAGGGCCATTCATGAAGAGCGCAGGCGGCAGCAACCACCCCTGGGCCCTTCCTCCAGCCTCCTTAGCCTCCCTGGTCTCAAGAGCAGAGGCTCCCGGGGACCTGGAGGGGCTCCTTCCCCACCACCTCCTGTCCGCAGGGCTAGTGCTGGGCCTGTCCCTGGGGCCGTGGTCACTGCTGAGGGACTGCATCCATCCCTTCCTTCACCCATGGGCAACAGCACCCCTCTAGGCGCCAGCAAGGAGACCCGGAGGCAGGAGAAGGAGCGGCAGAAACAGGAAAAAGAGCGAGAGAAGGAGAGGCAAAAACAGGAGAAGGAGCGGGAGAGGCAGGAGAAGGAGCGGCAGAAGTGGGAGAAAGAGCAAGAAAAAGAACAGCAGAAGCAGGAGAAGGAGCGGCAGAAGCAGGAGAAGAAGGGCCAGGGCCGGAAGCTCTCCTTGCGACGAAAGGCAGATGAGCCTCCAGCACCCCATGATGGTGGGGACAGGTCCTCAGCAGCAGAGGCCCGGCAGGATGCTTACTTCTGACCTCTGTCTGGGGCTGGATGGCACGGCCTTCCTTTTCCTTCAGCCAAGAGCAGGCATGGCAGGGGTGCTCCTCCAGCCCCCTTGGCAGACTCTCCCTTTTTCTGAGGAAAGTGGCTTGATCCCCCTGACTCCTTGCCAGCAACTGATCCCTATATGACCAGGGCAGCCAGAGTGCATGGGACAGCTACGTTTCCTAGGGTAGCCGTGACCAAGTCTAGAGACTCTTGCCTCCAATTAGGCCCAGCTGGGGTCTGTCACTCCTACCAATTCCTTCTGGGGTCCCCTCCCAGGTGCTGCCTCATCACCATAGGTGGTGACTCTTGGCAATGGCAGTTAGCAGTTGCAGATTCTTACACTCCAGTGGCTCCCTTTAGATTGTGGAGCATGGTTCCTTTTCCCGTCTTGGTCCCTGCCTGTCACCCCACTGCCTTTCTGGGGGCCAAGGCTCTTTTTCTCCCTCCTGGGAAGTCCTTGTGTTGTAATAATGTACAGAAGGTCAGGTCGGCCTGGGGTGGGGTGCTCTGTCCTTTGTTCTCTTTCCACAGTGCTCCTGTACTCGTTTATTTAAGGGGACATGCACTGAAATAGGAAATGTCCTCCACTTCCCCTCCACCCTTGTCCTGCTCTCCTTCACACATCTGCTTTGTATTCTCAGGCCTCTGCTGTCTCACCAGAACCCCCACCTTCATCTTGTGCCCTTCTAGCCTTCAAGCCCCTCTCTCAGTAAGGGTCTTCCCTTGAGTCCAGGGGGTGAACCCAATGTTTACATTCTCTTCTGTCTCAGTCCCATCCTGTGCCATGCTTTGAGGAACCGGAAAAAGAACCTGCTGTTGTACCTGGGTCTGTCTCCTGCCTTGTTATTTGATGAGGGGGTTGGGGTAAGGAGGGAAGTGAAGGAGGAGGGAAGTCAGGAAGGAAGGCTGAGACTCCATGGAAGCAGTCTGCTGATCTTGGCAGGTATCTCTAGGCCCTTGCTCCACTTCAGTCTCTCATCAGCATATATATTGGTCCAGCTCCCACTCCAGCCTTGCCTGGAATCTGCTGCTGTCATTTATCATTGGCCTCCTGGGACTCTGTATGCGCAGCGTGCAGCAAGCACCCGGATCTCCTTCCCAAACTGCTTGTGCAACACCTGGAAGCTGGAGGGGTAGTGAGAGTGCTAGAAAACCATAGTCCTCTGGGGTCGATCTAGGCTCTTGCCCAGCAGCTTGGTGCAGCTCCTGGAACTGGGCTTCCAGGGTGGGAAGCAGCCCAGCTTGCCTTAGCAAGTGCACACAATGCAGCTCTTGCTTGTTTTGAGTGGCTAACTTGTAGGCCCATCTCTCTGTGCTTCTACCCCAGGGGTCAGGATGAGGTCCAGGTAGAAGAGGTCGTCGTCGTCTGTCCGTCCGTCCGTCCGTCCCCCCCCCCCCCCCCCC